AACAGGTACCAAGGTGTAAACTTGCTTCACCCATCACGAGAATATCGACACCCTCAGGGCACCTTTATCACCGGATCATAGGGCTGAACCCTACTCTCGACGGCAATAAAGCGTTTGGTCATCCCGTAGCATGACCAATGGGTTTGTCCTGCAGTCTACCCATGATTGTGAAGCGGTGATCCTACTCAGTCCCTACAAAGTAGCTTTTCGGCACTATGTAATCAATAGGTTAGTCAACATGGCTCATACGTCCAACAAGATAATAACTTACTCGCACAGTTCACCAAGGTCTGCATGTATCAAAGATAGTGTGGCCTTTTTCTAGCATGGACCAAGAGACGTAGAGAGGACCATGGATTTGTAAGGCATTGTATGTAGCAGTAGTAGAGGCCAATAGACAGTAGAGTATTTGATTTAGATGACCATATGTAGAGAGAGAGAGCCCAAATGTCTTGTAGAGAGTTTGTATGTATAGAGTATTTTTGCTTGTTGTAGAGAGATGAGATGAAGAAGAAGAGGGAAAAGCTGTTGAAACAAATCCCTATTTATATCCTTCTCATCGACTTTTGTGTGAGTCCAGCATCCTTGCCACACTTAAATTCGTTTCCTTTTACTTTTCTCCACGATATACTACTTTGAGCGCGTGAAAATAGTACCATTTTGACGTTTGACACTTGCTCTATTTGATCCGCTTCGTCCGAGGCTTTCAACTGTTTTCTGTCTCGAGTTATGTCCATTTTGCTACTTCAAAAAGCCCTTTTTCCACCTTCACATGAAACGAGTTCCCCCATCTCTTCCTAGATGTAATTAACAGACAACTTTTCACTGGCTCAAACCTCATCAAAAAGTAAACAAAAAATGTCATTTGACACTGAAACAGATGCAGCTGGTTGCTTGATTAAGTAATCTTTTTTTTTTTACCTCTCCTTAATTTCTCTCTCCAAGATCATACGGTTCTCAATCCATCTCTCTTGTTGTTTACATCAGCCATAAACTGTCCATCTAATCGGGCAATACGAGTGTTAAGGTTGGCTTACTTGTCGTTTACATCACATCGGAGCCAGCATAACAGATTCTGGACCAAGAAACAAGTGTACACCTCGGAAAACAAGCGTGCCATGTGAATATTACTGCGGCAATCTCCATGGAATGGAACATAATGGATCGTTTTCGAACCAGTGCAAGTCATCTTGTTTCCAGCTATCATGGTTGCTGTCAATGATGTCAATCAAGTGTTTGCGCTACTAGATATCATCAATATGCCCACATCTACATAGTGAGTTGGTTATTCTTGTGTATCATTCCTGCAACCTGTTTGTAGTTCTTATGCCAAGAGTATTCATCTCATAAAGAGTCAACACGTTTCATATCATTTTTTTTTTAGGGATCGTCCTCTTTTAGAAGGTATTCGGATCATGCAAAATCAAAACATTTCATTTGCTAAGCAAAATTGAGCTTTAAAAAAAATCACATGTAAAGTAAACAAAAGGACATGAATTGAAGAGAGATAAGCAAGTAAATGGCCAATTTGTGGTTAAAGAGAGGATATTTTATTAGAAAGTATGTACATCATTAGAAAGCAAATCACTTGAGGAATCCAATGGTACTATTTTCAGGGTTCTAAGTAAAGTACACATCGCGAAATTCATCAAACAAGGCCGTGGGATTTCCAAAAGAAGGAGGTTTCTGAATTAAACTTCACCTCTTTTCTCCTTGCAAGATCCCTTTGTCTGTGTGCTATTCTGTTGCTTTGGATCATGTCACGTTCCTCCTATGTCATCAACCAATGATTTTTGGGTCTCACGTTGGGTACGCTATCCATTTGAGAAGGAGTCTCGCTTTCTCGTATAATCGTTTCTGTGGGTATCATTGCCGTTATATTATAGGGTTTTGAGCAATCAAGGAGAGTCTTCTTTTAGCCAGCCAAAACGGATTACAATCCCGCTCGACATTCTGTCACGATTCGTTAATTTTCAATAAATTTGCAACTTGATCGACTTATTTTACGAGATTCGACTATGAAAATTGTAGTGATCATCCTTACAGCCTTAAGCTATCTAGGAGAACGTTTCAAGGCGCATCCATCCAATGGTGTTAGGTAAAATATATGTTTTGAATGAACTTAATGAGCAATTCATAAAAGTATGAAAAGAGGTTTCTGGCAAAAAAAAATCGAGATTTTACATACCAAGACCCTATAAATATGATTTTAGGGGTTACGCTAGATCGATAGAAACATTTTGATTCAATATATACCATAGTAAAAGTCTTCATTTTCAGGGCGAAAAATGCGATCGTTTGATTTTCGATGAAAACTATGAGGTACCCCTGGGGGTGGCTAACGTACCAACAAAAAATTTCCTTTTTTGCTTAACGTACCAACAAAATATTCTCTTCATTCGCCATACATTTTTTTTTTCGATCCTGACATGCCAACTAAATCTAACAATGTATTTGATCTCTTGTATAAGACAAGTAGCCGATCGATCTTGCTACGCTGGATGACGGCGTTACCCTGCGGACTCTCGCCGAAGACATTTCAATTCAGAGATATCACATAAGTTTTAGACATTCAATTAACAGTGAGAGATTATTGTCATTGCAAAAGACACTTTTGCAGGGAAAAACTCTGAACAAAAGTAAATATATATACATATATTTGGACTAAGCAACCGTTCTTTTTTTTTTAAATATATGACCTCCATTGGGTCAGTATCGCAATTATCATTGTCATCATCAGAAAGGCATTCGGGTAAGCCAGCATCAGCGAAGCCTGCCAAAAATTATTCAAATTTAGCTAATTTTCTTGTTCAAGATTGGCCAGATTGTGTCCTTTTTCAACTTGATTGAACTCTTTTGCGAGATTCGACTATATGGATTGTGAAGATCACCCTACGCTTCCTAATACATTCTTGGAGTACTTTTCAAGACGCTTCCAATGACACTAATTATAATATGTGCTTTGGATAAAACTATTGAGCAATTTGACAGAATATGAAATGAGGTTTTCAGCGAAAATGGCCATATTTTGCATATAAAATCCTCATAAAAGTGGTTTCAGAAGTTGCTTTGAATCGAGAGAAACGTTTTGAATTAGTATATACCATAGTAAACGTCTCTATTTTCAAGGTGAAAAAGGCAATCGTTTAATTTTCGCTAAAAAAGCATGAGGTACCCCTCATGGTTTTCAGTGGAATTTTGGCCATGTTTTTTTTTTGGTCCCAAAAAGTTGAGCAACGGTGTAAGGAAGTTACTATTACACGAATACAACAATTTTGTGTCATTCCGGTGGCTCAGAAAGGTCTACATGTCAATATATGAAGGCTTGAAAGCTGTCATAATTGATCATGTTTTTGTTTTACAGCTTTTATTTACACAGCGTGAATCACATCTTGGTGGATGGATAGCTGAAATTCTTGAAGAGGGCAGTTCTGCAGTCTGTGCAACTTCTAATTTGAATAGGAGGCATATTGATTTTGGTATAGCTAATTCATGCAAATTTTAATGCCTTATGTTGCTGGTAAGCTTATTAATAGTGAAAGTGAAAAGCCAAGTTTACTGCTTGATTATTATGGTTTTGCACGTTTACCTCGTTATGGCAAAACCTTCTGAAGGTCAATTTTATCATTGGTGAACCCCTGTCAGAATCTACAGATAGACACAAGCAAAAACAGGTTTGGAATCCACAATACGGTAGAAAAATCAACTTGGATCTTGTACACTTTTGCAAAGAAGAAGGTAGTTGGGATGTTTTGCAACGAATGGAAGCGATGCAATGCTCAAAATGATACCATAATAGTTAAATAACGATGCAAGTGATATCCAGCACATTGCCTCTCAATGCCGTGGTACTAAAGACGCCGCTAACAAATTTCCTACTATGGACATTCTTGATGCAGAGTAATATAATCCGGCAATAAAGACTCTCTCAACTCTGAGAACACAACACAAGAGCACAAATGCCAGTATACTTTGACAAGTATGATGGGATCCTGTACAGAGCAACCGCCTTTTCTGTACACAGCACCCCTAAAATAAATATAGCATCTCACCCAAAGTACCATGTACCTCAATGCTTGAGGATGAATGAAAGCGCAGAGAGGGCCTCATTGGAATGATGCCGAAATGCCTCTTCCATCCACTGATTACCGAATCACTAAACAATGGAAAGATGAATGATATGCGGTAGCTTACATATCTGATTCAGGGGTATATGTCTGTGATCCCTAGTTACTGCTGTCTCTATAACAAGCAAAGAGTTATTGCAATGTTCAGAACGTTGTGTAGGTATCCTTATCCACGTGCTTACTGCAGACATGCTTATCATACAGTTGATTGCGTACATTATACACTCGAAATTGGACAGCCGAAATGGTCTGTGGTCAGCTTGTAACTAGCATCAGCGGAACAGGATACCTACAATCTACTATTCCGTTCTGCAATGAAGGGTAGCACAGTGAATGATCATGGAAGGCATGCGTAGATCTGGTTTGCTGATAAATGCAGATAGGCTCAAACAGCACTAGTTGTTTCAGGAACAATAGGCAGAACAAATTTCATTAGGTAATCCCAGATCCCTTTTCTTCTCTCACACAATGTCACTCTCTTTCCCATGATTAAATGCGATTAATAAATACGGTTATTACTTTTTGCAGAAAATTTTGAGCATTGTACAGGGGTACAAAATGACATTAAGCTATGGCTCCTCTCCACATGCCATCTCCTCTTAGAAAACGAATGAAAGTAATATGACCATTGTGATGGCTTGATGAGAGAGAGAGAGAGAGAAACTAGTTATAAAACCCCACCCCAAAAATGTGATTGAATATCAGATTTTTGATCAAGCTGTAGTCATGACAAATAGAGATTGCCATCTTCTTGGGAAACCATAACAACACAGGTGTCTGACTCCGATCCAATGTGCTAATATAATGTCTACACCTGTTTTTTTCATCCTCACTCTCTTTTTCTCTCGTTTCTATCTCAAACACTCTTGATAAATGAACGTTGTAGGCGCCAGTGTTTCTGAGGCATTTTATGCTGCTCATGAAACCAGAGATATCGTATTACCAAATCAAACAGAACACGTCTCTCAAATTGCTGTGGATGTAAGCCAACTTGTCCCTCTAATTTGCACATCTATACTCATCCACAGTGTCTTTTTAGATTGGTGGATCTCTGGCCAAAGTTATTTATTTTACACTATCGGCAGACCGCAAAGGAGGCCGCCTTCATTTCAAAAAGTTTGAAACTGAGAAAGTGGATGAATGCATCGACTACATAGTAGCATTGCTCAAGGATGCCCAACATTACAATGTGCAGCATGTGTTGAAAGCGACGGGAGGAGGAGCCCATCTGTATTACGATAGACTGGCATCCAGACTGCCTGGTGTGGTGGTTCAAAAGGAGGACGAGATGGAGTGCTTGATCACCGGCCTTAGTTTCTTCATTACAGAGATACCCTATGAAGTGTTCACCTACAACGAGCTGGATGCTGATCCTATTCGATTTGAGGAAAAGACCAAAGATGTATACCCATATATGGTAAAATGTCTAATCTCTTGTGTACCTGTGTTGGTTTGTGTTAACCCTGAATTGATATTAGCTTGTAAATATTGGCTCAGGTGTCAGTATTCTCAAGGTGGATGGTCCTGGACCGAAAGATTTCACTCGTATTAGTGGAACCTCGGTAAGCGGTGGATCTGCGTAAAAAGCGCTCACATACTCATATTCTTATTTAGCTGGGCGGTGGTACACTGTGGGGTTTATTGTCCATGCTGACAGATGCTTCGTCTTTTGATGGTAAGCTGTAAAACGAGTCGAATGCCATGCGAGGAATCTCATGAGACATATGTATACAGACATGTTGGAAATCTCAAAGACGGGCGACAATAAAAACGTGGATTTGCTAGTTGGAGATATATACGGTTCAGATTACAGTAAATTAGGGTTAAAGTCTTCACGGATAGCCTCGAGTTTTGGCAAAGTATTCAAAAAGGGCGCACGCCAAAACAAGGACAATTTTGCATCTGGAGACATTGCCAAAAGCTTATTGTTCATGGTCAGTAACAACATTGGCCAAATTGCTTATTTAAACGCACAGCAACATGGTATCAAGAGGATTTACTTTGGTGGATGTTTTATTCGAGGTACAGCATGGAGAGTAGTACAGAGTGATGGCAGTGTATTGACTATAGTTTGGCGGTAGGCCACCCGATCACCATGAATTCTCTGTCGTATGCCATCAAATTCTGGTCAAATGGAGACATGAAAGCACTGTTTCTCCGTCATGAGGGACATTTAGGGGCGACGGGAGCAGTAAGTTCAAACTTTTTTGGGGGAAAAAGATTGTGTGGTATAACTGACATTGAACCTTGTATCATGTAGTTTTTAAAACATCAACCTGTTCGTAAAGCAAGACACTCATTTTCGTGTTCAGAGAACTACAAGCCCGATGTAAGCAACAACACTGTGCTTGACGTTTTAGAGAATTCAGACAACTTGGAGCTTCGTTCAGCAGAAGGCCATGCATTGTAAAAATAATAATAATTTATACATATATACATCTTTCATTTGATATTCATCGCAATAAAAAATACCTGCTTAATCAAACAGTGAGTTTCCTTCAGCAATCAAAATGATCAAAAGCATAAGCAAGGCGTACTGGCATTCGCAAAATGATCAAGGAGCTGTGCAAGGCTACCATTCCAATGTGGAGCTACTCCATAACCAACGGTCAAACGGGTCATATCATATATAAAACGTATTTTCATTGCTAGAAACACCTGAAACATCCTAATAAACATGGATCACTCCATTCAAAGCACTGTGATGCAAAAATCAGTTTGGCTTGCAATGAAAACATACATTGTACTTACGGTTGCTCTAAGTCTTCTGCTTTCTCGATGCATGCATTTCTATAGGCAATCAACGCCTGACGATAGTCAAAGCTAACAGTTTTGGTAAAAGCCATACCATCGCATAGAGAATTAAAAAAAAAAAAAAAAAAAAAAAAAAGAAACTACAGCTACCAAGCTTTCATGTATCACTATTCATTAAAACAAAGTACTTTCAACATGAACCAACCGATTCGACATAGCATCTTGAATGTTGAAAGAAGCTACAAGGGCCCGTTGCCTTTAGTGCATGTCAAGTAGCAGCGCAAGCAAGTGGGAACATGTGCAAGTGGAGGTATGGCTTCTAAACAGAGGTGTTGCAGTGTGACACAGCTTTTTTCATTCAATGCCTCATTGAATTTAAGGGAACTGTATTCCAAATTGACGAGATAATCCACCCTTTCTTTCTTCAGGTGGCAACTCAATCATGACACAATATCTTATAGCTGTATGGGACTATGTCGCAGAGGGTGAATTTGAGCTTTCATTCAAGCAAGGCGATAGAATCAAACTATTAGAAAAGCATAACGATGACTGGTATGATGCATATATATATAGCATGGTTGTCATCTGCAAACTAACTCCTGCTAAAACTGTACAGGTGGGAAGGTAACTCACTATTGCAGAACCGTTTCCATGTCTTGACAGCATACTAAATGCACCATCAGGCGAGCTGAATGAAGAGATTGGCTTCTTTCCTGCCAACAGAATACGCTTGGAAACACCTCAAGATTCAGGTGGTGTATCTGATAAAAACACGAGTCTCGATAGACCTGTCTGCTAACAATGTATTTATCTACTAGTCCAACAAAGTGTAAAGGAGCATCATGGATACACAGCATTGCCAGGCACTGATGATTTCTGTAGGAACACAATGTAGATGACGGTATAGCACCAACACCACCGACAGCAGCAGCAGCAGCAGCAGCAGAGGATGGTCAAGATGCGGCTAATGCTGCTCCTCCACGATTGCCAGCAAGACGAAATCCATCCATACGATCTACTACAGCACCTGCACTAGCAAATGACACATCATCTGTGTCTGTACCTACAAAAACAGAATCACCTTTGCCTATAGGATGGGAACACGCATATGGTAAGCCAAAGGGAAGATGGCTCTTTTTATTCTTCGTACTCATGGCCCTGTAGACCAAGATGGCACCATTTACTATTTCAACGAGTCGACAGGTGAATCTCGGTGGGAAAAACCAGGAGAATCAGAAAGAGACCAACCTCCTCCACCATTGCCACAACGAGATGATAGTGCCGATACTTTGATTCAAGGCCTGAATCCAAACGAACTGCAAAAGCTGGTATAGATACTCGTACAGAGAGAGAAAGAAGCTATTTCGGTGCTTAACGGTTTGATACAGGAATTCGACAAGCTGCAAACGGACTGGATCCGACACAAGGGCTACATACAGATGAAGATGATTTCAGAAAAGGAAGATGGAGGCAAACTGAGCTCATGGAAGGTGTATTATGCAGTTTTATCCAATGGATTTTTGCTGCTATACAAAGAAGGCCATGCTAAAAGCAAGGTAAGTCGGTAGTGCAAGCATCGTTAGCAACCACTAACAGAAAAAAAAAAAAAAAAAAAAAAAAGAAATCCTCTCGATCGCATGTCCCTGTAGGCAGTTTTGATTTAGAGTCCTGCAAAATAGACCCTGCTGGAAAGCAAGATACCAAGCGCAAACATGTGTTTATTATTTCGACACCCAAAAAAGTCAAGCTCTACATTCAGACCACAAGCGACAAAGAGTTCTCATCGTGGCTCGATGCTATTATGAGAGAGTTGATTGCTCGTAAGGAAGGCCAGAACGAGGAGACAGAGATTATGAGGCTGCTGAAATCACTCACATTTGATGAAACGCAAATGAAGGTCAATCGTAAAATGACGCAGCAGGAACATGTGGATGACAGGAAGAGCAGAGGACACTGGTTTTCATCCAAGCCAGACGGTCGATCCAGCAGCACTAGTAGCAGTGTCAAGACGATTGAGCCAAAATACGTCTATGGCCAAGCACAACCTGGTGGAGGTATTGGCAGTTGTATGAGTGATGTTTCTATTGATACTAATCATATTTTTGCGTAGAAAATGATGTTTTTGGCGGGTATTTGCGAATGGAGGACAATGGAGACATACCTCGTATTGTCTCACTTTGTGTCAGGGAGGTTGAAGCCAGAGGATTGCAGTCAGTGGGGATTTATAGATTATCAGGCCCAGCATCCACCATACAGAAATACAGAACGGCCTTCAACAGGGGAGAACGCGTGTCCTTGAAAGAGGAGCACGACATCAATGCCGTTACTGGGTTGCTCAAGCTGTATTTCCGTGAACTTCGCAACCCACTCATGACACATGAATACTATGATTGGTTTATAGAAGCAGCGAGTAAGTTGAAAATAAGACATGATGCCATCATCTACTGATCGTGTATGGCAGAAATATCAGATTACGAAGAACGCATGTATCAGATCAAATCTATCATCCACAGTCTACCCAAGCCCAACTACATTGTGCTAGAATATTTGATGCGTCATCTCAATCTAGTCGCTTCCTACTCTGCAATCAACAAGATGGAGCCATCCAATTTAGCGCTAATTTTCTCGGTGGGCTTACTGAGATCTGCACAGGAAGATTTGAGCAGCATCATGATGTCAGATCTTCACAGCAAGATCATCGAGGCTGTGATTCAGCAGGTGGAATGGTTCTTTGAGGAGGAGGAGGAGGAGGAAGAAGAAGAAGAAGAAGATGAAGGAGATCAAGTGCAAGTATCAGACCAAGCCCTGATACAAGATCAGATACATGCTCATACAAGAACCGAAAGATCATAAAAATAAAGACATGTGTCAAATCCATCAAAAAACTTGTGGTGTGTATCACCCAACGGCAGTCCATCTGGCTTTTTTCTTAAAGAAGCAAGCTTTTCCGTGAATTCATTGATTGTATAAAAAACCCCTTCTCCTTGCTTTCTCCCTCTTTTTTTTTTTTTTTTTTTTTTCTCTCTCGTGTGCTTTTTTTCTTTCTTTCTTTATCCACTCGTTTCAACCATATTCACTACAGCACAATAAGCAACAAAGGGTCATGGTGTGGAAACGATGGAGCCTTTATTTCATTGTCACAGCGGTCATGGCAGAGAGTGCATTACCAGAAATTCAGCTCGATTCAGTGGGAGGACAGTTGGTATTTGCAGGCGATTTTGCTGGCCTCTCACCTTACCGGCTACCAAGCCAGTTTGAATCACTGGATGCAACTTCACTGATCCTATCCGACAGCATAGACGATATAAACGTATTTCAATCATTCGCCACTATAAATGGATCAATTGAAACTTATTGTCAATTAGCTGATAATGAATTCATATTGGCTGGCAACTTTATTAGCATCAATGAAACCACTTACAACTACATTGCTCGCTTCAACAGCCAATCTCGCCAACTCTCCTTGCTAGACCAAGGCTTGGATGGTGCTGTCAAGTCGATTTACTGTACATCAGATGCCATTTACGTCGGTGGTGATTTCATGGCGCCTGTCCATGCCAACATGTCGCAGTATACAGGTCATGCTGCAGTGTATGCCAACAACCAATGGTCGCCATTGCCCTGGAAAGGCTTCAACGGCCCTGTAAATTCTATCATTCAACACGCACAGCAAAACGCTATTATTTTTGGTGGTCAGTTCGATGCCACAGGTGATGGGCAGTACGCCACTCCCAACGCTTCAGCGACAACACAAATGGTCAACCTGGACTCATCCGTCACCATCTCCAGTGGCAATGGTGCCAGCGGTTCTGATCCCAAGAGTGTGATTTGCAGTCAAGCGCCTTGGCTATTGCAAGACGGCAATCCCGGCTACTGGCAAGCTCAATTTGTGTTTCCTATCCAACCGTCGAAATTCAGACTATCCAACTTGCATTCAGCCGATGGAAAGAACACTCAAACATTCAAGCAAGTAGCAAGCGAGTTGTCTACTGAGGAAAAAAAAAAAAAAAAAAAAAACTAACATGTCTATAATAGCATTATTTCTCTTGGCTCCAATCAGTACTTTAATCTGTCGTATCAAGACCCTATTACTAACCAGATGTTGACCTGCTCAGAAGCATGTCCGCTGTCCAACAACTCCAATATACCCTACCAAGACTTTACTGTGGTCAACTCAATATCAACAAGCGGCATCAGAATCAACATTGACGCCTGGTATGGCTCTGCTGGTGGTCTAGGTGGAGTCAGCATTTATCGATCCGACGCTACACTGCAGCCCAATGTCGTTACCAACAGCTCTATCACGTCCTCTTCTTGTTCAGCAGCAGCAGCAGCAGCAGCTCAGGACCCAGCAACATCCTTTTCTTCAGTGTCAACTACTGGCACTTGGACGTCAAGGTACTCGTGGGGCATTTACCAAACATTCTTGGTGTCTGTGATCCCTGCTAGCGAGTTGCACACAGCAGACGTCTCTGCCACCTACAAACCTTTTATACCTGTGCAAAGTGTGTACGACATTTATGCGACAACCCCTGGCTGTGTAGGCACATCAACGTGTGATCAGCGTGTATTGATGCAACTGACGATTGAATTAACACCCGGCAATACCACCACAGTTGCATTAGACCAGAATATCATCTCTGATCAGCGCACACTGATTTATAGGGGGCCTGTATCTGCATCAACCGGCACATTCCAGCCTTCCATTGTCATGAAGGTGGATCCAGCTGCCACCACATCGTCCTCTTCCAATGTCACCATCATAGGCACGTCCATCGAGTTTGCCAGAAACGCCACAGGTATCAATTTGTCCAGCGTATTAAGCTACTATCCTAGTAACAACACATGGAGTGCTTTAGCACAGCAACTACCTGCAGGGTCAATCGTTCATTCGTTAGCATCTGTAGACTCGTCACTCTACATTGGAGGCCAGTTTACTCAAAATACAACATTTAGCAACGTTGTAGCGTATGATTTTGGCTCAACTGCGCTTAAGCCCTTGGCACAAGGTGGTGTCAATGGTGCTGTTTATGGCTTATTGTTGGCAGAAGATGCACGTACGTTGATCTTTGATAAGGATGCTAGGGGTTATTCATTTTTTTTTCTATTTAGGCTTATTTCTAGCGGGTGCTTTCAATAATACAGCAACCCCTCAAACCAACAGCACGTTGAACCATGTTGCTATCTATGACATACCATCCAGCAGCTGGTCTGGCATGAATCAGGTAAGTTGTGCACCATGCGGATGTAAATGTTTACCAACATGTTGTCAAACAGGGTGTCAATGGTCAAGTCAACTCACTGTATGCCACCAAAGACAAGCACGTTCATCTGTCTGGGCCATTCAACGCAACCGCAACTGGCTCAAGGCTCTATAACAATGCAGAATGGGACCCATCAGCTCAATCTTGGGTAACTCGTTCGTCGTACATCCTCGGTTCAATAACAAATCAAGTCCAATTATCAGACACTGCAACACTCTACCTTGGTTCGGTTCAAAACGCTCAATCCTATCGTGTTAGCAACGTGGCTTCTTTGGCTAGCAATGGTATGACTTCGCCCATCACTGACATTGACCCCAATGCAATTGTATACACTGGTGCCTTTTGGAAATCATCGCCTATACTGGCAGGCTCGTTCAAGCTCGGCAACACAGCGTTTCCTCTTGTCATTTACCGCGACAATACATGGCAAGGGCTTTTACCGCAAGTACAAGGCAACATCACTACACTCTCTGTCGTTCAAAACAGCCTACTTGTGGGCGGCCGCTTCAACGGTATAACAGAAGACAATGTTCAAGTGGCCAGCATTGCCTATTACGACCTTGAAAACAAACGAACGCTAGCCATCACGGGTCTATTTGACAACAAACAACAGCCAGGCACTGTACATGTGGTTCGCCCTCAGGGTGATGGAAAATCAGTCTATGTAGGCGGTGATTTCTCGTTTGCTGGCATGCTAAACTGTGATGGTCTTTGTGTCCTTTCGCTAGAGACAAGACAGTGGACACAGCCCAATCAAGGCATCTCAGGCATCGTTAATGATATGTATATTGATGATACCACCCGATTACTGACTGTGGCTGGCAACTTGATTGTGAATCAGAACACACCAACACCACTCGCCAGCATAGACACATCCTCCAATACAGCCACTTGGACTGCAGCACCGGCAAATGAGCAATACACCTCGCCGACAGCTTTGCTATACGATAGTGACGATCAGTTTCTGCTCACTGGCAGCAAAAATAACGCTACTTGGGTTGCAAAGTGGGATGGACACAGCTTTTCATCCTTGGATACGACACTGGGCGCTTCCTCTGTCGTTCATCAGTTGCTATGGATACCTATCGCTCCAGATTCCGCTGCTTCTATTTCTCGTTACCCGTCTGATTCAGACACCATGCTAATGGCTGTGGGTCACCTTGTATTGCCCAACTTGAAATCGAGTTGTAGCGCTGCCTTATTCGATGGCAGTAAGTGGCACCCCTATCTCCTCTCTGCAGCAAGCACTGGGTCACCGGGTCGCATTCATGGAATGTTTACCGCCACAGCCTGCTGCAACGCCTCCTACAAGACTCGTCGTTATCTCTCTGTACCTGCTGTCATTCTGATCTCTATTGCCATCTCACTTGGTATCTTGTTCTTACTAATTGCATGTGCGTTTGCCTACATGTTCTTAAAGCGTCGCCATCATCCACCAAAGTACTATGCAGATCCCATGAAGGAATGGAGACCCAAGTACAGACCCGCGAGTTTGCTTGCCATGTTGGATGCTGCCAACTTGAATGGTAAGGATACTGCTGTAGCGACTGGCGCTGGTGGTGCTGCATTAGCTGGTGCCGACGCTATTGCTACAGGAAATGACAAGCAAGCAGATACCAAGACAACTGGGTATTCAACAGCTTTGGATGATGCTCATGGACCCACGCATCGTGGCCAGACTAGTATGGACATGTCAGAAGCAGCTGCGGCAACCGCACGATACAGAAACTCGAGTGGATTTTCCATGGGCTTGGGTTTACCTTTTAGTGTATTGATGGCGAATGCTCTTAGAAGCAACGATACATCGTCTGAAGCTACTGAAGATGCGCCCAAAGTGTATTATGCTAAATACCCATTTGATGCCAAGGAGTTTGGTGAACTGGCATTTGACGCTCAAACACCCATCGTCGTGACAGATACCAGTGATAATGTGTGGTGGATGGGTTACAAGGATGACGGCTCTGGCAACCCTGTCTCTGGCTTGTTTCCAAGTAATTATGTAACAAAAGCAAAACCTTTTTAAAACCTATATTCCCACTTCTTTTCTCTTTTGTATAAATATAACTACGCTTGTTTCTGATATCTATTGAAAAAAAGAAATGGTCGGATCAAACTGTTAGAAGACTTGAAATTATCATCTCCGCTCAGGGGTAACTTTAGAAGGTGGAATCGGGAGCAGTAGTAAGATCAAAGTATACAGAAGCATCTTTGTTTGTACTGTTATGTCTATATTGGTTGCCATATTGCAAGGGAGGCACTATTCTATTTATGCAGCTAAAATATACAAACATTTCATTAAAGAGCATATATATATAGTTTCAGTACTACGGCAAACATCAAGCTTGATGGCTGCATTCACATTACACAAATCAAGGGACCTTTTTGTTTTTCGAATTTATAATTTATTCTATAATGATATAACTGTGGGTTTATTTTACTGCTACTGCTGATATACTGTGATATAAACATATTTATATACAATTGTATATATATATTAAGGAAGGGAATTTTTTTCTTGTAGATAAAATATAAAGTGTCGCATAGGAAAGAAAAAAAAAAGGGAGAGGGGGGATAATTTAACAAAAGAAAAAAGTTACACAGAAGAAAGAAAAATAAGGGGTGTTTAATTTACAAGTTTGTTGCTGTTGTTGTTGTTGTTGTTTTATATAGATGAGTAAAGTTACAAGAGGATGAATTGCATAAGAGAAAGGAGGGTTGATGAGTATATGAGATGAAGAACGGCATGTTGAATGTGGCAAGAGAAAAAGTAGAGGATTCATAATGTAAGATCAAGTCATTTATCCAAATGTGCTGACAATGTTTGCTAAATGCAAGAGGCTTGAAAGTGATTTTTGTGAATTAGGAGCCCATTCATGATGTTCAAGCTGTTTATCAGACGACTGTTGAGGTTGCTGAATTTGAGTGTGGTGATAACGATTGTAGTGAGGTGAATGCGATTGATAATGATGATGGTGATGTACAGGCTCAGCATGATACTGCCTGAGTGGAGGTGGCAATGAGTGAGCATGGTCGTAATAGTACATCATGGAAGGAGGAGAGGCAGAGCACGAAGAAACAGAGGAAGATGAGCAGGTAGATGAGGTGGAAAGAGCACGGCGAGGCCTATTCACAACTTTATGCTGCTGCTGCTGCTGCTGCTGCTGCTGCTGGTTCATTAAGGTTGATATAGTGGCTGGAGGGTAAGGTAAGCTAGGCATAGTAACAGATCGTCGTGGTCTTGTCATCAGGGGTTGAAACGACATGTGGTCCTCGCCTCCATGGAGAGAGTGGCAATAGAGTTGAGGCGATTCCTTCTTCTTTTCTTGTTGCTGTTGTTGTTGTTGATGTTGACGCAAATGTTGACGACGCAATTTTTGCGACAGATGAGTGCGATAATGCTGCATCATATTGTCTTGACGAGAGAATCGACTGGGGCAGCCAGGATGAAGACAATGAAAGTTCTTTTCACCAGTGTGGATGCGATTGTGTCTGGCAAGATGGCCGCTGGTGGTGAAACTCTTGTTGCATCCAAGTTCGACGCAATGATACTTTCTTTTCGGTTGAACAGGCAATGTCATGGAAGTTGTTAATTTGGTCACTTTGAAAGATGTCTCCTCTGATCTACCATGGCTAGCAGAAATAGCAGCATTGGATGGTGAGTCGTTTAAAAGACTGAATGTTTTGCCAGAGGCATTCTTAATTGATAAAGCGGAATCCATGTTGTGAGATGAATGAGAAATAACAAGCAAGAAAGAAAAGAAGAAGAAGGTTGAAATGGTGAGCAAGTCTCTATTTATATTTCTCAAATGTGGTGGCTGCTTGGACGTGAGCTTATCATGTATGTTTTTTTACGCACTGTTTAAAAACAACGTGGGCCTGAATTCCTTTTTGAATTGTGATGCACAAGTAAAAAGTTGTTCGCCCTGCATTACAAAAGTGGAAATAAGCGAAAAAAAAACGTGCTTGTTTATGTCCAGTGTGAATTGAGTGGTAGCAGATCTCCTTAAATTATTTATATATCACACCATTCCCCTTTTCATACTAACGAGAGACAGCGAGAGAGAGAGAGAGAGAGAGAGAGAGAGAGGGAGAGCTCCCTTTTATGTTGCACTGTTAAACTAATTATATTCTCTGATCTGCCAAGACACCATGTAATTACTAGAATTTATGAAAGCAGCAAAGAACGAAATATTTCACTTGGCAAAATGAATTTAATGATACCGAGATAATCCATCATGGTATCTTGCCACTGGCTGTAACCATGCAAGCTATCATTGGTCAATGCTGTTAGGAGATGTCTATTTTTATAGCATTTCATGTAGTATTTATATACACCATGTATGATTTGAATACTGCCCATTGTATAAGTAACGTCGTTTAAACCATTTAACAGAATGATATTCGCTCCATGACAGCATAATGCAGATATTGAACACAAATGATATTTCTAAATTTGAGAGGTCAAAGCGCCGGCGCTTATTACCATTGTCGACTTGACCAATTGGAATACTTGTTCTAATTTGACATGTACAGTATCTACATGCCATGAACACAACAACAAAAGAAAGGAATGGGTCCCCAGCAGTGAATCAAGGGCTTTAATATTTAGTAAATTAAAGGGATCTACAAATCTAATAAAATAAACATGATCTCTTTACTTGACAATCTCTACGCTCTACTACATGGATTTTCTCGTTTTGCTTGATGAGAAAAATATAAACGAATGATTTATGCTTTCTATATTAGTACATATTCCCTGGTGGCTATTTGTTATTGTTACCATGTTCTGTATAAATATAGAGTTTTTGCTGGTTGTTACCCTTAAAATATGCACTGAGAATACTTGATTCTCCTTGACAAAACTGTAAAATGCCACGTTTTCAACATTTTAATCTGGTTTGTTGGCAATCTTTGCGTCTCCTGTACCAGTGTATACAGAGTGAACAGGGACCCCTCAGTGTAATGGGGTCGATAGGCGAGGTTCTTGATAAGACAACACAACAACAAACGCACAAACATGTAAATATAGGAGTAATGCATAAAACAAAAATCTCGTAAACCCGCGATTACATGATTACCGATGTTTGGCACATTGGGCCGAATGACTATTGTGCTACCAAGTTAATTGGCGATGATCTTGAATGTTTTATGGTTCCTCTCTCCTTGGAGAGACTGATGTTGAAGATTGTGATTGAAAAACCAACTAGGAAAGACATTTGCAAGCGACATTATCAACTCCAAAGATAGACTTGCTACAGCGTATTTCTGGTTTGCCGAGCTTTTTGGCACAGTTTTTATTGACTTTTTTTTTTTTTTTTTTTTTTCAGGGTGATATCATTCGCATCATGATAGCCCACTTCTCTCTATGATAGATCATTGTATTTATAAATACACAAAACTGCAGCATTTCCTTGATCTTCTGCATCAAGTCATCACGCGATACTGCATATAATGCATGCATCGGTATGGATTTGTTCTTAAAATTTAAGATTTTATTCCATGTTTAGGTTTTGAAAAGGCGTAAAATGACACAAATATGATACTTTTAGTCTGTTGCCATGATTTTATTTGATTGTACAATCCTTTCGCTCAGATGCAGATGACACTTTGAATCTTAACACTACCACATAGCATGAGATGCAAGTCAAATCAGAGGACAAGGCGCATCTTACAGGCTGCCAGTGCGAAAAACAGCTCATTGCTTGCCTTTTGCTGAAAAGTCTCATGGTATTGCTGATTTAGTTAGGCCATTGTAGATTGTAGTCTATTGTGGTGGGTGGGCTCAGGAGGTAATTGAATGACTGAGATAACACGAATTAATAGCGCATATGCAAAAGTAGAATATAGGTGAATATCACTTTATTGATGTAATAGAACAGGAACGTTCTCAAATCACCTTTGGGGCTTTCATTTTCACCATGTCTGGTTGAATAACCTAAAGCGGTATTGATGCTTTCTAACAAATGTAATGCTTCATTGAGTTGACAGGACTATTTTGTTGCGCAATGGAATTCATCCTATACTAGAAAGACAAATGGTATATACTGTAATGTGTGAAACTGCTGTTAAATCAGGCAAAATCTGAAAGCAACTTGATTACCGTAGATGACTTGGTTATTTTCAGTCATGCTTATCAATATACAATGTCTCATTGCGTTTTCTTGCCTGAACAATCAAAGAGCTTCGTGATAGACTTTAAACATCCTGGCGCAATGCTGTAAATCTCATAGAATATTCTACTAAAATATGCTTTTCTGCCTTTTGGTATTACCTAGGAAGCGTATTATTGTAAATCTGACTTTTTCATGATGCCTCGCATTTACAGCAATAACAACAATCTTTATAAGGGCAGGCAACATAGCTACAACAGGTTTTCTTTAACAAAACATATACAAAACCACAGCAAATCCTGGGTGTATTTGTACAGTAATTGCTCGTGTTAGACGCTGTTTTAGACTGCCAGAATAGCTCCAAACAATTGCTTTCATCAAGAACTTGCTTTCTGACACTTTTTGGGCCCCTCCCAAAAAAAAAAACGGCCAAAAATCACCTTCAAACCATGAGGGGTACCTTATGGTTTTTGTCAAAAATCAAACAGTCGCGTTTTTTACCATAAAAATGAAGACTTTCACTTTGGCATATACCAATTCAAAATGTTTCTCTTGATCCAAAGCATCTCCTGAAAATGCTTTTGAGAGACCTCGAGAAGCAAAATCTCGACATTTTGGCCAAAAACCTAATTTCGTGTTTTCTAATATTGCTCAATAAGTTTGTTCAAAACATCTCTTGCATTCTACATCATCAAGTGCGCCTTGAAAAGTGTTCCAAAAAAGTATAAGAGCGTATTGAATGATTATCACAATTTATATAGTCGAATCTGACAAAGTAGATCAATTGAGTCGAGATTAATTACACCGAGATGTCAAATGCCGCAAAATACGCTAAAAGCTTTATGGCTTCACTTGCAACAGAGAAAATGACTCGTAAATGAAGCTTTGGGCTTACATCAATGGGAATAACTCATAGGTCTTGATGGTTTAAAGCATCTTATACTGGGAATGTCAACGTAATGTAGAATCAGCCTGTATCCAATTAAAGTTTTTTTTTTTTTTTTTTCAACAATGCTGGTGCAAACGAGATGGTATCAAATTCCTCATAGAAAAGACATTACTAATAAAGATGAAGCAGAGTGTCAGTCTACGCTTTATGGATATTACAACTCGAAAGAGACATTGGTTATAGCAGATCCAGGGCACCAATGATCCAATAGCATGACAAATGTTTTTTTCCATGAACGGCCTTTCAAAGCTTAATGCGCATTTGCCTGTGATTTTCCAGAATTGAGGATGACTAAAAGCAAATGTTATAAATATTTAATTGTAACCCCTTTTTTCCATTTCCCCACACTTTTTATCTTTTATTGTTTTTTTTGATAGATAATGGCTACAAGTAATAAGCAAGCAAAGAGGCGTTTGAAACAGCTTGGAGCCACATTAAACCCATCCAAAGCGGGCTGGTCAGACTCTGAAGACGAGGATCTTATTCATGAAGGTATGAGGCGCACACAATAGCAATGGTGATATATATTCATGCGTACATTCATCATGAATTAGTCGGCATCAAGTCCGTGCGTATTGGCGATGTAGTGATGCAAGTGCACCCTGCACAGAATCCCGAATTGGTCCCAGAGATCCAAGGTCCATTCTACGAAGGTGCTCAAGTAAGTCTACATTACCCATAAGCATAACAGTGACTCTTTAACGTTCTGTTCTAATAGGATATACTCAGACACCTGAGATGGATCATGCAGAAAGACAAGGTAATCCAGCAAATCAATAAATGAGAGAGAGAGAAAGAGAGAGAGCAGACGTTAAATCAACTGAATTTAGTTGGGTCAAGATATTTTTTTACTAGGTCCTCCTGGGCCATTGCGTCGCAACCTCATTATGAAATACGCAGAAATGACTCAGCGAGAGTAAGTAGACAACAATACTTGCAGCAGGAATGGGGTTATTCACATATGTTGCCTTATATAGAATTGAATATGTAGCACTGTCAAAGGATGTGACAGATGCAGACCTAAAGCAGCGAAGAGAACTCCAAAACAGCACCTCCTTCTACGTAGATCAAGCAGCTGTCAGAGCAGCTATTCATGGCAGAATCCTGGTGTTGGATGGCATTGAAAAGGCAGAACGCAATGTATTGCCCATTCTAAACAATCTGCTAGAAAACCGTGAAATGTCTCTGGATGATGGCCGATTTTTGACGACCAAGGAGGTCAAGGACACTGCAGATACCAAGTTTGAAAAGGTGAGCCCCAGATTCCTGGTGTTTGCTCTAGGTAGGTTTTGTAAGGCCATCAAGCAAGCAATTGTTGCTCACATACTCATTAAGGTTTGCCTGTACCACCCTATGTCGGATACCCTCTGGATCCTCCGCTTCGCTCCCGATTCCAGAGCAGAGACGTCAAATCACCTGAATTCAAGTCGCAAGTGGATCAGATGCTTAGTTTGATAAAAAACAAGCAGATTTCCAGAGATTTGATTGAACGATTGATTTCCATCAGCATGGTTCTAGGTGTCCAAAATGAAAAGAACAGCAACCGCGAGATTGAAGTGCCTGAATTCCCCATGACGATTGAAAGTTTGGCTCCTCTGTTGTCCTTAGTGCCCAATATCCACCCCCGCTTCTTGGTCGATATTTTGTATCCCTACGCGCTACTTCCCACCTGTGATTTGGAGCAGCTGAGTGTGATTGAAGCTGCATTCAGACGATTTGGCGTGAAATCAGCTGTCGTAGAAGCACACATGGAGGCCCGTCAAACAGCGTCTGGCTACTCAATTGCCAACATTGACCCTATCCAAACCGGCGACAACATTACCGTGGATGGTTATCACTACACACACAAAGCCATCGCCTCGTTTGCTTCGGATCAGTATGGTGCTATTGGATTGCCCATTCAATGTGGTCCTTCGCCCTTCAGCCCCGCCGAATACTTTATCGAAACGCCTTATCACCGTGAAATATTCTCTGCCATGGTTTTGTTGCATGCTGGTGGTAAAGACATTTGTCTGGTAGGCACCCACAAGGGTGTTGGCAAGTCTGCTCTGGTGCGCCACTTTGCTCGCAATCTGGGCTACACCATCGATTATATTCCTCTGTACCGAGACATGTCTTCTCGTGATTTACTGCAGCGTAGATCTACCACAGCCAAGGGTGATACTGTATGGGAGAACTCACTGCTCGTAGAAGCTGCCATTCACGGTCATCTCGCCGTGTTGGATGGCATTGAAGCCTTGTCTTATGGTACTTTGAACACACTGCAACGTCTGTGCTCTGACCGTGAGACTCAATTACCGGATGGCACTCGTTTGATCAGCGGTCATCGCTATGCCAAATTGATGCGCAAGCAATCGCCCGAAGTATTGGAAGCCAAGCGTTTGATCCCTATTCACCCCTCCTTCCGTATCATGGCATTAGCTCGTGCTGGTACTAGTGGCCAGACCGACACCAAGGCTGGGTCTTGGCTCACAGCAGAGATATTGTCCATGTTCCATTTCATTGTGGTTGATTCACTCCCATCGCATGAAGAACAAGAAGTACTTACTGCCTTGTCACCTGGTGTGGATGAAGACAAGCTGAGACAATTGCTCACATTTGCTAGAAGACTCCGTAGAGACAAGGATGACACCATTCGCATGTTGTCCAGTGCATTATCTACCCGCCAATTGATTCGTATCTGCCGTCGTTTGGCCTATTTTGAAAATGAGAGTCTGTATATTGCTATTCACAAGGCTGCTCTGTCTCGCTTTATGCCTGCTGTTGCCCGTGAGGCCTTGTCTGCATTGATGATCGCCAATGGTATTTACCCACCCAAGGAAAACCCCACTGCACCGGAACTAGTGATTGAAGTCTTGCCCTCACGAGAGTCGCCTGAACAGATTCGCATTGGCAATGTCACTGAATCCGTGTTCAAGGGCGGTGATCCCATGCTGATTCCCAACGTTGTTTTTCACGAAAATCCTGCTCACACCGAGATTTTGAGAGAGATGCTCAAGGACTACCAATTGGGCGATCATCTGCTTTTGATTGGTAACCAAGGTGTTGGTAAGAACAAGCTGGCTGATTACTTTTTGCAGCTGCTACAATTGCCCCGTGAATACATCCAACTGCATCGCGACAGTACTGTGCAGAGTTTGACAACGACACCTGCCATTGCCGATGGTGTATTGACCTATGAAGATTCTGCTCTCGTCAAGGCAGTGCGTGATGGTACCATCTTGGTGGTCGATGAGGCGGATAAAGCACCCACCTATGTCACAGCTGTGCTCAAGAGTTTGGTTGAGGATGGTCAAATGGTACTGGGTGATGGTCGTCGTATTATCTCCAAGGAGTCTGATATTCAGGACAGCCAAAACTACATTATGGTGCATCCCAACTTCCGCATACTTGTGCTGGCTAATCGTCCTGGCTATCCCTTTTTGGGCAACGATTTCTACCGCGAGATTGGCGATGTCTTTAGTTGCCATGCTGTCGACAATCCAGACATGACGTCTGAAATGTTCTTGTTGCGTAAATACGGCCCCCAGGTGTCTGAGGATTTGCTGGCCAAGTTGTCTAGTGCCTTTACTGATTTGCGTAAATTGACGGATGAAGGTCTCATTTCTTATCCTTACTCTACTCGTGAATTGGTCAACATTGTGCTCCATTTGCAAAACTACCCAGAAGAAGGCATCTCCAAAATTCTGCAAAATGTGTTTGATTTTGACCAGTACGACCAAGCCTCCAAAGAGCTGGTGATTGAAATCTTTGAAAAGCATGGTATTCCCGTCGGTCTCGAGTCTGATTTCTCTATGCATTTGGGTGATGTCTTGTCCTTGAACAAGCCTCTGTTGTCTGAGCAGTGGGCTCGTGTGCCTTCTGCCACCAAGCATGTTGCTATTCGCATTGAAACAGAGTCCATTGCTGTTCGTGGTGGCTGGGACATTGATGTGGGCAAAAAGTGGAAGGATCTCGAGCGCAAGGAAGGCAGATCCACCATCTTTTCCGAGCAACTATACACGTTTGATATCCCCACGCGTGGCGAAGCGCTTGATATTGCCACTGTGGATGATGGCACCCTGTTTGTGGTTACTACCAACCCAGTGACACTCCATCGCATTGATCCCAACCACAAGCGCATCGATAGTTTGGATCTTTACGAGTACTTTCCTTTGCAACGCGCACCTCCCAGACTCCGTATCTCTGTGATTCGCGCCAAGACTGGTGCTGTCAAGTACCTTGCCTTGCACAATCCCTCCAACAACGAGCTGCTATGCTGCGATTTCAACAAGAAATCAGTCGTGTCTGTGGTGATTCGTGGTTTGGAGCCTGTCAAGTCCATCATGTGCAACAACTTGAGTGCTACTGGCACCCTGATCTTTTACCAAGAGGACCAACCCACCATTGCTGTGCTTGATTTCAACACATCGCAGCAACACACGCTTACCTTCCCTCAACGCATCAGCCAACTGCATGTTGTTGAGCCTCATTTCTGGATTGCTCGTGGTAGTCGCAATGCCAACATCTATGCCATTACACCCGACAAGGAAGGCAGCCTTCCCAATGTCATGGAATCTATTCAAGCCTTGGGCCAAAATGGCCAACCTGTGGGCGAGCTGGCTCACATTTACGAAAGAGATTTTGCTCCTGGTGCTAAATTTGCTCAAAATGCCGATCTCAACAAGTTTGCCTCTATTCTTGAAGGATGCTCTTATGCTGACTTTTATGGTGATCGAGGCGTGATTGACATTTCTTGTTACATGAAGCATCAGCAACAGAGCAGTGAAAACCAAGAAGCCAGAAAGGTCAAGGGATCCTCTTTGTATCTGCAGCAAACACAGCAACTGGCCATCATTCAACCACCCACCGATGGTCGCGCTGAGAGCACGCTGGATCTCTTGAACCCCAACACAAACCAAATATGGCGCATCAAGATGCCATTGTCTGTCATTGGCAACATGGAGGCACCTGTGCCCACTTACACACAATTCCAAGTAGAGCGATTTGCAGCTACCATGTGCGAATTGCCAAACGGTAACCTTGTCACCATGGACAATGCAGGTACAGTACGTATCTGGCAAGTCAGTTCCAACGAAATCTACAAAGCTGCCCAGACATGGAAGCAAATGGTCGGTGTGGATCAAAAGGTGCTATCTGTCATTTACGAAACGGATGAAAAGCAATTGGACGATCTCTACGATGAAGCCAAGAAGCTGGCAGGCGACCAAGGCAATAGTGATGCTCAGTGTCAAAACGATGGCCAGGGACAAGGATCTGGAGGTTCTTCTGGTGTAGGTGAGGGTGATGGTGGATCTGGATCAGGCGGTCAAGGTGGAGGCGGTGTCAATGGCTCTGGCAACAACATGAATGAAGAAGGACGCCAAGAAGCTAGTTTTGAGGACATTAATAACCTAAAACTGGTGTGTTTGCAAGACCTATAGAGTGATGTGTATGTGGCTAACTTTTAAATGATAGAAAACGGCTGGTGATGAACCTGAAGCTATCACAGAAGCTCAAAAGTAAGTTCCTGTTTGACATTTGTATTTAAATATACTCACATGGAATCACAGGGAAATGCACGATCAAGCCATGGAAAAGATGCTCAAGAAGCTCGACATGAGTCAAGCTGATTTCCAGGTAGGCTCGATTAGTTTGGTTGTGCATTATAACACTCATCATGATTACTTGACAGCAATACAATACATTCATGGAAAATATTCGTCGTGAAGTGCGCGAGCTACGTGTTATTCTAGAGAGCGTTGAAGCAAAGAAACACGAGCGAGTTTGGCTCAAGAATCAATCTTCTGGTGATTTAGACGACACAAAAATGTAAGTTGATTGACAATACAGTAAGGTGATTCTTTGTAGGCTCACATCTACATGTAGCATTGAAGGGCTCACGGGTGAAAGAGCCATCTACAAGAAGCGTGGTGAAGATGACCCTGAGCTAGGTTTGTTTCAGGACAAGCCCAAGCGCATGAATTTTGTCTTTGACTTGTCTGCCAGTATGTTCCGTTTCAACACGCATGATCGTCGTTTGGAGCGTTCAATGGAAGTGGCTCTCATGTTGATGGAATCTTTCCGTGGATTTGAGCACAAGTTTGCTTACAAAATTGTGGGTCACAGTGGTGATGGTGCCAACATTGAGTTTGTTGTGCCTGGCAAGTACCCCAAGACAGAAAAGGAAGCCTTTGAGGTGATTAGCAAGATGAAGGCTCATTCGCAATACTGTCTCAGTGGTGATAACACACTTGGTGCAGCCTCTCATTCCATGAAGGAGGTGGTCGAGGAGGAATCAGATGATTATTTTGTAGTTGTCTTGTCGGATGCTAACATTGCTCAGTACAATATCCACCCCAATGACATTGCTAGAATCCTCAAGTCGGACGATCGTGTTACTGCACAGATGATCTTCATTGGCAGTATTCAGGATCAAGCAGAGCAGTAAGTGCCGTGGTGTAAGATGTTTACCAATAGCATACTCACTCAAACATTTAATTAGGTTAAAAAAGGCATTAGGAAGCCACGCTCACATTTGTACAGAAAACAAGGAGCTCCCCAAGATTATCAAATCATTGTTTTTGTCATCTATGGTCAAGGGTTAATACTGTAGATTCAGTCGTATAAAGAATGTAATATTAATTGATAGAATGGTGTAATAAATCAGACGTCCATGTCCAGTTTCCACCTTTTTCTTGCCGCATTGATTGCGTCCATCTATTGATTGTTGGCTATGTATTTGTTTGAATGATTGAGTATACTGTTTATGATCATTGGAAGTTTAATCATTGATACACACCTTCCACAAAACACAGTTCCGTCATTTATGATTGAATAGAATGAACATGTACCAAACTCTCATTCGACCTCTACTTTCCTTTTCTCACTTTCGAGCATGCGTCAGCCAGATATTATGTTTGATATCTGCATGGCATGGTTAATAGCTTTGACATGTAGGCTTTGACTGACAGTCTCCCACATCTGGAACATGATGACCGAAAGACTGGAAAACCTTGGCATGGATAAAAATACGAGATACAGCTATAAATCACACCATCTGTTTCATCAGCTACTTTTACGCAATGAATTTAATGTATTTGAGCACTATATCAGCCAGCACAAGTAACTGTAAACGAGGATATCCTAATTCAGAGCAAATATTACAATGGTCATTATGGTTATCGCAAGTGATCGTATCCTTAGTTATCAATCTCAACGGCAACAGCGGCTCTTTTGGATATAACGTTACCAGTGGAAGGAAAATTTCTCCAAGAAATTTGTCAAATCTGTCGTTTTATCGAAGTAGCTGAGGCAATACGCGGAGGAATACATGAAAACACACAGGAGAATGAAGTAGATTGCATACTTTGATGATGGACGCATAGCTGCCAAATTTACCATACACAAACGCTGCAAGTTCAAGACACATGCTCAACGACCAAGAGTTTAGACAATAGTGGCAACTTTATATCTTTGGATAGCTATATACCCATCTTTCCTTATCCAGCCGTGATAACAGTAGTACATTTTATTCTTTTTTCCAATACTATTAGATAGTATCAGGAATACTGTCATCACTCTTCATTAATTACATAAAATCCTGAATTTATAGTGTTTTCCAATAGATATTTGTCAAGCCCGAATAGGGTTGCTGATAATAATTCAGGTACCTGCGTTATCATCTACAGTACTGTATAAACAGGCACAAAAGAAATAAGATCAAGTAATTAAGTTTAGCTACTATAGTACTTTTCAATTCGAAATTTCCTTCCTATACACATTCAAAGGCATCAGTTGGCTTCATATCACGATGGGAATGGCATCTGTGTTGCCCCCCCCCAGCCCCCCGCCGTCGCCGCTGCTGCTAAACCCATTTATATTCCCGCTTAATTTTTTTTTTACGTTGGATTGGCCAGATCATAATCAATCTCGACTCAATTGATCTACTTTGTCAGATTCGACTATATAAATTGTGATAATCATTCAATACGCTCTTATACTTTCTTGGAACACTTTTCAAGGCGCACTTGATGATGTAGAATGCAAGAGATGTTTTGAACAAACTTATTGAGCAATATTAGAAAACACGAAATTAGGTTTTTGGCCAAAATGTCGAGATTTTGCTTCTCGAGGTCTCTCAAAAGCATTTTCAGGAGATGCTTTGGATCAAGAGAAACATTTTGAATTGGTATATGCCAAAGTGAAAGTCTTCATTTTTACGGTAAAAAACGCGACTGTTTGATTTTTGACAAAAACCATAAGGTACCCCTCATGGTTTGAAGGTGGTTTTTGGCCGTTTTTTTTTTTGGGAGGGGCCCAAAAAGTGTCAGAAAGCAAGTTCTTGATGAAAGCAATTGTTTGGAGCTATTCTGGCAGTCTAAAACAGCGTCTAACACGAGCAATTACTGTACAAATCCACCCAGGATTTGCTGTGGTTTTGTATATGTTTTGTTAAAGAAAACCTGCTGTAGTTTTGCTACTTGCCTTCTACAGGTTGTCTATTTTAGTGATTTGACTGAATGAAAATTAAAATCGCGAACTTGGTTGCATGGTTGAAGAAAATCGGGTCTTGTAAACATAATTCACATTTACCGAATGAGTCTTCTTTTCACTACTATCTTGTAAACTATGGAACATCGTAAGTAGAGCATCTAAAATTGATATCTAGTGACTAATCAAGAGCTTGTTTTAGAGTCTCAAAAGTAAGATGGCAACTAAACTATAGCAGAATGTTGCCCACTAACAGCTTGAATAGGTCATTTTGGAAGAGACGAGGACTCAAACTCCCAGGAAGGTAATTTATTGTAATCAGAGACGCAACAGAGGCCATTGAAGTAATACAATACTCAGTATTAGTGTTGTTCCTAGCTACTCTACCGCAGCAGAAGACGACAAGCCTAGCAAAACAGATGTCATTGGCGCACGATACACATACAACAGTTTGGTCACTTTTCACGATGCATCGCTAAAGCCTGTCATGTTACCTTCTCAATATTCAGCAGTCAATAGCACAGCAGCATCACAACAACAACAACAGCAGACAGGGAGCAAATCTATGAATAAACATTCTTTAAAGAAGAATCATACAAGAAGCACCTCGACGCAGAAATCGTTTAACGCGTTCTTAAAGGACACAAATGACGAGTGGAGTGATGATATACATGAGCCGGGAAAACAGCCTAAAGAAACAGCTGCTGACACCTCCACACATCACACAGCAGCATTGGAAAAAGCATCAAAGGCAGTGGAAGCTGTCTTATCAACCACGCCAATGCCAGCGAATCCTCCACCTCAACCCATACGAAAAAAGAAGTCTACAAATCCCAATGGCATCAAGGATCATGTGCAAGACATACTGCTAGGTGAGCATTCAAAACGCTTTATTTGAACATGTTAGAATGACTGACGAGAATACGCAGACCCTACATTATCTTTGAAATGGATTGATTTGGAAGAATCCAGAGATCCATTGAGATCCAAAAAGTTCAATGAAGTGTTATCAGTGTCCAATGTGGATCTAGGTAAGATCATGGCTGATGGTAGTGTGCAGCATTGTCTCTAACATGGCAATCTTGTTCAGTCTCATTAAGATCATTGAGTTGGAGCGGTATACCCGAAGAGATGAGAATGATGGCATGGCAATTGCTGCTTGGATATTTGCCTTGCAATTCTGCTAGAAGAGAAATCACTTTGGCTCGCAAGAGAAAGGAGTATTCCGACAGTGTCACGGCAACCTATGCACGAGGCATCGCAGGATTGGATCAAGCGCTATGGCATCAGATACACATTGATATACCCAGAACAAATCCCGGCATTCCCTTGTATCAGTATGAGGCAACTCAGTTGGTAAGGATGCTATGAGATGGATACGCTATATATACTGATGCGGTACTAGTGCTTGGAGAGAATCTTGTATCAGTGGGCTATTAGACATCCAGCAAGTGGCTATGTACAAGGCATCAATGATTTAGTGACACCCATCTTTGAAGTGTTTTTATCAGCCTATATTGATGAGGATCCAGAGCAGTATGATGTAGGCAAGCTGGATAAAGAGATTCTAGGTGTGATTGAAGCAGATAGTTTTTGGTGTCTGTCAAAACTGCTGGATGGTATTCAAGACAATTATACGTTTGCACAGCCAGGCATTCAGAGACAAATATCGACGTTAAAGGAACTAGTAACACGCATTGATGGTAAGATTAGCAACACTGATCATTAGCAAGTATGCTCACTGTTCATGGACTATACAGCTCGTCTGGCTCAGCATTTACAAAATGAAGGGATCGAATTTATTCAGTTTGCTTTTCGATGGATGAATTGTTTGCTGATGCGTGAATTACCACTGATGAGCACGATCCGTATGTGGGATACCTACCTAGCAGAAGGCTCATCAGAAGGATTCTCTGAATTTCATGTGTATGTGTGTGCTGCCTTCCTTGTCAAATGGTCAAATCAGTTGCAAAAGCTCGATTTCCAAGGTGTCATGATATTTTTACAGCAATTGCCTACACAAGGCTGGCAGGCAAAGGACGTTGAGCTGCTGCTATCAGAGGCCTATATGTGGAAAACTTTATTCCATAATGCACCCAACCATTTGAAATAAATCGTATATCAATTTGGACCTTTTTGCGTTTTATTCAAGTGGTGAAACAGTAGAAGCGGACACAAAGCGTACCTCAGTGTACTAGTTATAATACCAGTTCATTTGATAACGTATATTATGATTCTTGAAATATTATATGTTCTTTATTTTTTTTTAATGCAAATGTCAAAGGGGATGAAAGAGAATGGATACATATATGGCATATAAGTTGTATTATGTGAGTGATTGATAATCGCTGTAGGTAGAATGAGCAATGAAATGTGTATGGGCTCGGTAGTACGATTTATTGAAGGTCATTGTGGTTTCCTCCAACCATGACTTGTAGCTTGGCAATTTTCTCTTGAAAGAAGGGACAGAGTCTCACCAAACAATGAACGATCATCAATCGCTTCGTTCACAGCGTCCTTGGTATAATTATGCTAGCCAATACCATTTCTCTGAATAGTATGATTCCTTGCATAAATAAAGTCATTGAGTCAGCCTTGTTCACGGTAACTGGGAAGCGTATTCTATCCAGGATTTTTTCTGTCGTATATTGTGGGTGGGATCCCATGGTAGTCTTCAATATGTTTAGAATAACAAAATATAGACAGAGTAAATACAATTAGAACTGAATATATTTATTAAGTTATTCCAAGGTTGAATGAGGATCAAAACTAGTGTAGATTTCAAAGGTATATATAGTTATTTGACAGTACCGCAGCAATAGGGCCTTGATCTTGAATGCGGGATAATTGTATAAGCCTTGAACCAGTTAACGTGAATGTGCTGCATAAGAACTCATGAACCACCAGTCAAGGATAAACAACAAAGATGATCCAGGATAGAATATTCTTCCTAATAGCTTTGACGGAAGAGCATTTGTCAGAATTGAAACCCACTTCCAGGGACGAAAGGCCATAGGCTATCACTCTCCAGGAACCAGGATATAGATTAGCCATTTGATGGCACCACTCATGTTCCTTCGTGCTGCTTGAATAAAGACCTCTCACTTCTACTATGTATCTCTGCTCATTCTCAGACCCTCTTATGTAATATACAACGCCTAATACATTTGCCTCTTAGAGATGATCTATATCCTAAACATTCGTCCCCACCAGAATCGATAATACTGCAAGAATTGTCGATTCGATAAACACTACACCACAGGAGATAGATCAAACAAGCTCGGCTCGTTGAAATACTTCCTATGTGCTATCATGAATTCGGAGCAATGGCCATTAAAACATCCCAATCAATGTAAAGCCCAATGGGGAAAAAAAACAATGATCAGGTAAAAAGGTACACTGCTACCACAACACATGACAACACCCTCTCGACCACCACTCTTACCTCGTCCCCACTGTCGCTCACCTTCCCGCTTACCCTGTCTTCTCCCTAACATACGTGGCCCGGCGCCGCTTTGCTGGAGATTGAGGAGCCCCCGCCTGATCTGCTTCCCCAATGGCAGCACGTTTCCTCTGTTGCTTACTTGGCATTTGAGCCACTCGCTCTCGGATGCGCCCTTCTTCTTGCTTCTGCAGCTGCATATGCTTTTGCCAATACCTTTGCAAGATATGGGAATCCGATACATCTTCTGCAGTTATCCACGAACACATGCGTTCACCATAGCCCTTCCATTTGATGAGATACTCACGATTCGCTGCTTTGCCCCTATGATCTCGAATCGCCTCAATTTCGAAATACTCATGATCAATGACCTTCTTATCTATGTTCACCACCTTTACCTCGGATGGTACATAGTTGCAATGAAGAATCTCATTCATTTCATCCTTTAACTCGTATGACCCGCCTTGATTTCTACGAATGACCGTATATGGTCCATAATCAATAGTAGTAGTAAATGCATCCGCCAACATGATTACTTCGCCATATTCTTTTGCAGTGTACTCTAAATCCATTCCATCCGAGGAACTTTCATCAACCTCCTCAATGGTTGTATCAGGGATATAGTTAATAAAGTCTGCTATCATTGAAAGGTATATGCTCTGAGTGTTATATAATAAAATATTCAGGAAAGAGCAGTTTATTTAATTTGTCTGAACTTTTTCCTTGAATCATCTGAATACTAGTTCGCCGGTTATCCAAAAATGGATAACTAAAAGTCGAAGGAAAACACTGTACCACGCACGTAATTATTTCAATTTTCCGTCCTCAGTGTTTTTTGGACGAAATGAATTGAAAAGTATTTAGATAAAAAATCCATAATTGGAGTGCATTTTTATGTTTAATCATATACAGTATTTCTACATTACTTGTCGCATTTTTCGAAATCTGTGTCGCACTTTTGAAAATCAGTTGTCGAGTTATCAAATCTGGGATGTCGCATTTTCGGTTTGGATTTGTCGGTAGCGTAGATGTCGCCTACAAAAAAAGGTATATCGCAGAGTTCAGATGTAGAGAGCAAAACAAAGATAAGGTAAAAACAATATTTTATTGGGTAAGATAATAACAAAAAATAATAATGGAATAAAAAATGACATAAATAAACTACACTAAATAGGGGCATCATTGAGACAATCATCGAAGCAGGAGATAGAGTGACGGATGTATCAATGTAGATCCTTGTGAGTAACCATATTGCAAGCTTCCGATATTTTTGAAAAGAGTGTGTCCACATCCAGCAGTTCTTCCCTCTTGATCGTATACTTCAACTTGGACCGAAATTGTTCAATGGGGTTCAGTTCTGGAGAGTACGGCGGGAGATAAACACAGTTGTAGCCACGTTCAGTAAGAGGCAGTTCAATGGTTTTTGATTGATGTGTTGGTGCGTGTTGTCTATAACCAGATAGTAGCATCTGAATTCAGGGTGCTTTTCCATGATGTCCGTCGTATACTATAAAAACTTCAAATAATGGTTAATTATTGTTCCTATAGCCTTACCATGTTGTTGTTTTTCCTCTTGCTGTAGCTGTTCCAGTGCTCCGTTTTTTTTCTTGGATTGTTGTTGTTCTTTTTGAGGTAGTCCAGACTCTCACCTCGCAAGAGAACCCAAGTCAAAGAACATGATTGACAGAACAATCAGCTGCAATGGTTGGTATCAAGGACGTTCATCCAGAGATTACTAGCCGCAAGCATCTTGATTGTTGAGGTTGGTCGGAAAAAAAGAGAAAAAAACAAAAAAGTCCATTATTCACCCTTGAAATTTTTTTTTCAGATGACTGCGAAATCAGGTCCAGCCCCAAACTCCGCGTTATATGAGGTGAAATTCCGACGCGACCATTTTTTTTTACCCTTTTCTCACTCCTCTAAATGGCAACTCACAGATCAAAAAAGCGAAAAAGAACACCCAGCCATGCAACGTGGTGTTTACATCACGCCAGTTCTCTTTCTTTGAAATCCTTAGTTCGCCACTTTGAATTATACGATCGTCAATACAGCCAGGCGCGTTATCGAACTATTCTTGATAAGTATTTTGAACATGATGCCAAAGCTAGCCTGTTAGCCGAACTCAAGCAATGGAATTTATCTATGGACAGCACTGATTTCTGGAAGGAACAAGCCCGGTCAAAGGTGATCTCGGATACCCATGCTTCCTGCTCAGTTCTTGTGGACCAGATCATTGTTGTGGAAGAAACACCTCACGTTGACCGCAGCAACGACTCTCCTTCCGCTACCACCTCCACCTCCAATGCAAGCACTTCCCAGAATGAAACCAACTGGGAAAATACCAACAAGAACAACACCAGCAGCCACAGCAATGCAACCTAATAACATTTCTGGGCGACTCACATCGTGAGTCGTCGAGAAATGGTACCTTAGGTACCATGGGCATCATGCTAAAAGCCAATCAGAACAAAGGGCAAGTGATACATAAGAATAGGATTTCGTATTATTACGGGCATCATTTGAATGGCCAATCAGAAGCAAGACTCACGGTGCTTGGGTACCTTGATACATGAGGTATCATTTTTAATAACATTTTTCAAACACCGAGGTACTCGGTGTTTGAAAAGTAGGGACAAATAGCCTAAGATAGCCGAAGATAGCCCAGTTCGCGTATGCGAACTTATAGAAAATGTTATCCAGTTATTATCTCACCAGAGATTGCTTCACTGAGCGGTCTCATATATACCACTACATAGTGCGTGCTCTGGAATAATTAATAAAAAAAAATGGGTTGAAATCATTATATCATTAAACTGTTATAATCAATTTCAGTTTTACTATTAAAAAAATATAGAAAGCTCTTAACAGTAACGAGAGACCACCAGCCAACTTATAAATACGCTATCAAGCGTGAATAGTTAATTAGCATTACACTTTCTTGATATGTTGTCATAAATCTTAAATAAGCCATCAACATCACTCATCAATAATGAAAAATAGCAATTGAGAAAAATGATGAACAAGATACAACTTATCATCGGCTTTCAATATGATACCCGACAAAACAATCGTTGATATAATAGGACAAAAGAATGAACAAGGGAAAAAAAGGAGGGATTAGACAAAAAGTAAGAACACCACAAGAAGAGATTGGGATATTAGACAAAGAATATATATAAAAGAGGGAATGTGATAAAAAAATGAATAGTGACAATTAAAAGAAACAAATCAAAACAGAATAGAACAAAGCAACAATGAAAAGAATAAGAAAAGATTGTGATACTAAGAAATGAACAAAGAAGGGAAAAGATAAGACTGCGATAATAAGAAAAGAAGCAACAACAAATATGGGAACGAATACTGGATAAACAAGGACCCGACAAAATAGGAATTAAAATGATAAAAAATAAATACATAGAAAGAGAGAGAAATTGAACAAAACAAATAAACAGAAAAGAATGCAAAAGAGTAAATAAAACAAAATAGATAGAAAAATTGAGACAGTTAGGAACAAAAGTACAAATAATAGTCAAAATCAATAAAGGGAAGCAAAGAAACCCTAATAACATTTCTGGGCGACTCACGTCGTGAGTCGTCGAGAAATGGTACCTTAGGTACCATGGGTACCATGGGCATCACGCTAAAAGCCAATCAGAACAAAGGGCAAGTGATACATAAGAATAGGATATCCTATTATTACAGGTATCATTTAAATGGCCAATCAGAAGCAAGACTCACGGTGCTTGAGTACCATGATACATGAGGTATCATTCCTAGTAACATTTCCCAAACACCGAGTACCTCGCTGTTTGAAAAATAGGGGAAGGTAGCCTAAGATAGCCGAAGATAGCCCAGTTCGCGTATGCGAACTTATAGAAAATGTTTTCCAGTTATTATCTCATTGTTGAGGATATAGATCATCTCTAAGAGGCAAATGTATTAGGCGTTGTATATTACATAAGAGAATCTGAGAATGAGCTGAGATGCATAGTAGAAGTGAGAGGTCTTTATTCAAGCAGCACGAAGGAACATGAGTGGTGCCATCAAATGGCTAATCTATATCCTGGTTCCTAGAGAGTGGTAACCTATGGCCTTTCGTCCCTGGAAGTGGGTTTCAATTCCGACAAATGTTCTTCCGTCAAAGCCATTAGGAAGAACATTCTATCCTGGATCATCTTTGTTGTTTATCCTTGACTGGTGGTTCATGAGTTCTGATGCAGCACATCCTCGCTACTGGTTCAAGGCTTATACAATTATCCCGCATTCAAGATCAAGGTCCTATTGCTGCGGCACTGTCAAATAACTATAAATACCTTTGATATCTACATTAGTTTTGATCCCTATTCAATCTTGGAATAACATAATAAATATATTCAGTTCTAATTGTATTTACTCTGTCTATATTTCGTTATTCTAACACTCATTAGAGATTGCTTCACTGAGCGGTCTCATATATACCACTACATAGTGCGTGCTCTGGAATAATCAGTAAAAAAAATGGTTTGAAATCATTATATCATTAAACTGTTATAATAAATTTCAGTTTTACTATTAAAAAAAATATAGAAAGCTCTTAACAGTAACGAGAGAGCACCAACCAACTTATAAATATGCTATCAAGCGTCAATGGTTATGTCAAGAACTTGATTTCAACGGAGGATTAATTTAACAAAACGATTATCTTGAAGTAAGTGAGGATAAGATATACAAGATAATCTACAACTGGAAAGGATGAAGGGGAAAAGGACATAATATTTATACACTACGGCCCAACTGATGTTCTCATGAGCACATTGATGTCCTCATTTGAGAAGGTGCAGTTTTCCACATGAATAAAATGGTTTGAATAGCTAAACTATAATACTGTAGGCAACAGAGAGACTTTTATTATCTGTAAGATTCATAAAACTACTAAACGTATTATAAGTTGCACGAGAAAATGGCAATTTAAAATTACCTAATAACTACTTATTAAAGCGAAAGAATATATTTCAATGTCAGGGCTGAAGGGTATACTGACAGTGATTTAGATCTGCAGAATATCATTGACAGACTAAACACAAACAAGAATAAGAAGCGCAGGTTTAAACCTAGAGCGCCAGGTACCAGAAACGTTAAACAGTGATTAACCTGGATAGCGCAAAACATTACACAAACTATATTGGATAAAATCAATGTTTAAATCTAATATTAATAAAGCACCTTTTTATCCATTCAACTAAAAGGCTATAACATCTTACTGCACACTCTCTATATCTACTTCCATTTATATCTCGATCAGATCTCAGATTGCATATACTATCTCTACGTATTAGCATCTGACAATTGGTAGCAACTTCTGTTATTTTTTAAATCCTTTTTTTCTATTTGTCGCCTATAACAGATAGTAAACAAAAGTCGATCATCAAGGCACGCCGGCTAAGTATTCATTAAAGGGAAAGATCGAAACATCTATATTAGATCTTTGCATTTACTGAATCATAATAGTCAACCCTCTTTACTACAGTTGTTCATAGTTCCTCTCTGTGAACACTACCTACCCCATCTCGTTCGCTGTTGATTCCTATTCCACGAACTCGGAGATCCCAAATAATAATCCAACTATCAAAACAAACACACAAATCTCGAGTCAACACTCTCTCTGGTCTCTCTCACCACATTTTATTTAAACAACATGGCTGAAGACAATCAACAACAACAAATACCACCCAACTATGTTCAATTCATGGAACAAAACCAACACATGCTCACCAACATGATGACTGCCTTCATTCAGGCACAAAATCAAGCACCTGCTGTCAAGTTGCCAACACCACCTACATACAGTGGCACTCGCAATGCAAGTGAAATTGATGCCTGGATTCGTTTGATTGACAAACAAAAGCTGCACAACAGCTGGAATGAAGAACGCACCTACAATTTTGCCTCTTCTTTGCTATCTGGACGTGCTGCCACTATTGTTGCCCATTATGAAGATCCCGACAGTAATCTTACCACACCTACAACGTGGATGGAGCTGAAGGACATTTTGATTAGCAATTTCCGTCCCACCAACGATCAAGATTTGGCCCGTGATGTTTTGGTCACCATTCGCCAAACCAGTTCAATTCGGGATTATGTGGATCGTTTTATGGATGCTGTCATTCCCATCAAGGATATTAGTGAACGTGAGCAATGTGATCGTTTCATGAGAGGTTTAAAGGACAAGGAATTGATTGCCAAAATTCGCGCCATGCCTATTGAATCACGTACGTTGGAGAAGCTGTTCTCTGATGCTCTGGCTCATGAATTCGCCCACCATCCGGAGATCAGTGCTGGTGTTCAGACAAACACTAGATACAATAACAACAACGGTGATGTACAGCCTATGGACCTAGATGCCATCATGCATCGTAACAACGACAACAACAGTAACAGCTACAGCAACAACAACAACAGAAACAGAAATAACAACAGGAGAAACAGCAATAATCGCGGCCGTAATAGGTATGATCCCAGCCTCACATGTTTTCACTGCAAGAAAGTTGGACATACCACCAAGAATTGCCTCTCCCGTGCCACTGAAATTATGCATGCATTTGACAAGTTGGATCTGGACACTAGACGCAAGCTTTTCAAGAATGTTGGTGTTTTGAACTGTATTTTGGATGTTGAATACAGAGAAGAGGATAACCATGGTTGTGATTGCAACCAATGTCAAAGTAGTAATAAAGCTAGTGGTTCCTCTTACCTGTTGTCCCTGTGTGATAAAATTGCGGTTGAGAAAAGAAACGCACAGATGGATGAATTGAATCAAGTCATTGCCATGATGGATTCCTCTGTTGCGTCTTCTCCTGCTTTGGTTTCTGTGCCTGTTACTACCCCGGATAATGTCTCTGTACCTGTGCCAGACAACAATCCAGTGGTGAATTTAAACCCTGTCGTTGCGAACTCAAATACTCGTCGTCCTGTGGAATTGTCTCCTATCATTCAAGATTTGGATACGTCAACCACCATTGACCTCACCACTGACTCTGTGTACCTGACAAATTTATTGAATGCAGCAAATACCTCAACTCTACCTTTGTATGGAGCAACCGTCAGACTCAACCATTCTCTGGGTGTAGTCAAAGTCAAGTGTCTAATTGACAATGGTGCTAGTGAAAACTACATCTCAGGTAGAATTGCAAACATGATTGAAGGCCATCGTAGCGTGATCCATGGAAGAGAGGTTGAAACTGCAGGTGGCAATGTATCTCCTATTAATGAAAAGATTGTCTACGATTTGAATTTGCAAGGTCATACAAGCCCAATGTCAGCATTCGTCTTTGATACAAAGTTCGATGTCATTCTTGGTAGATCCTGGCTCAAGGAACACAAGCCTGTTGCAGATTGGTTTGATGATACGTGGACCTTGTCTTGTTGTGGTCCTGGTAAAACCACTATCTCACCCACGTCGTCTTCCTGTGTGTCAAGCACACCAACTCAACAACCGCCTGAATTAAATTACTTGGTATCTCATCTTCAAGCAGAGAAAATGTTGAAGGAGGAAGGCACAAATGCATGTTTCTTGTACATGATGGATCAAGGAGAGAAGGATGGCGCAAGTACTGGAATTACTCAAGAGAATGTGGTATGGACAGATCAACTGATGAAGGATTTTCCAACGGTTTTTCAAGACAAATTACCTGGCCTACCACCCAACAGACAAAATTTCTCACATGTGATCAACGTTCCTGAAGGTGTCAATCCCATCAACAGACCTCCTTTTCGTATGAGTCCAGCTGAACTTGATGAATTGCAGCGTCAACTGACCGAACTGCAATCTCTGGGCCTCATTCGACCATCGTCGTCACCATGGGGTGCTCCGGTATTATTCGTCAAGAAGAAAAATGGTGAAATGCGAATGTGCATTGACTACCGCGCTCTGAACAAGGTCACTATTCGCAACTCTACCCCTTTGCCTCGCATTGATGAATGCCTGGATCGTTTGCAAGGCGCTTCGTGGTTCACTTGCCTGGATCTTCGTTCCGGCTACCACCAAATTAGGCTAAAAGACTCTGATATCCCACTTACTGGATTTAATACCCGATATGGTAAATGGGAATGGCTCGTGCTGCCTTTCGGACTTTCAAATGCTCCACCCAGTTACCAAACTTGGATGAACGGAGTTTTAAAAGATTGCATTGACAGATTCGCTTTGGTTTACTTGGACGACTGTTGCATCTTTAGCAAGACATTAGAAGACCATATCAAGCATGTTCGTCAAGTACTCTCCATCTTTGAAAAGGAAGGGCTCATTGTCAACTTGAAGAAATGTGAATTCGGTAAGCGTGAGCTAGAATTTCTGGGTTTCAAGGTCTCCGCGAATGGTATTTTACCATCGTCATCGAAAGTGAAAGCTATCCAAGACTGGCCAAGACCTACTAATGTGCAAGAGGTGCGTCAATTTGTTGGATTAGCACAGCATTATCGCCGTTTCTGCCCGAACTTCTCTTCTGTGGCTGCTCCTCTTACTGAATTGACTCATGGTAATGGTGCTAAGAAACGTGCTATTGTCTGGAATGATCAATGTGAAGTTAGTTTCAAAGCTATCAAACAAATGCTAACATCATCTCCTTTATTGAAACTACCTGATATGAGCAAGCCATACCGCATTGAAACCGATGCAAGTGACTTTGGAGTAGGCGCCGTGCTTTTACAGGAGGATCCTGATTCTTCTACTTGGTTGCCAATTGCGTATGAATCCAAGAAATTATCTCAAGCTGAACAAAAATTGCCTGCCCAGGAACGTGAACTAATTGCTATCATCCATGCTTTGAGAACATGGCGATGTTTTGTGGACGGTTGTCAAGGTGGTTATACTGTGTATAGTGATCACAAGCCTCTGATCTACTTCAAGTCTCAACTGAACCCAACACCTCGTCTTGTTCGTTGGATTGCAGATTATGAGGCATTCTCGCCAAATATTGAGTACAAAGCTGGAAAAGACAACGAAGTGGCGGATGCTCTCTCAAGAAAACCAGATTTACTTGTGGAAAATGGAGAGAATATACCTTCGTTGGCACCTGAATACTTATATGCTGCTTGGGATCAGTTGTCTGATACTATCAAGACTGATTGGCCTATTCTGTATGTCGACAAGAACTACGAAAAAATGAAATCAGATGCATTGCGAAAACGCATGGAAAAGGAGGAGGATCAGTTTGTGGTACGCCAAAGAACAGTGTATCGACTAGTCAAGATGGAGGATGGAAGCATAAAGCAAGTCAAATTTATTCCGTTCTCGGATCGTGCTGATTTGGTTTTCAAGTATCATGAAGCTTTTGGCCATGCTGGTATCAAGACTATGCTAAAAATGTTCACTGAAAGGTACTGGTGGCCAGGTTTGCGAAAGGATATTCAAGACTGGCTGAAAACTTGTACTGCTTGTCAGCTGAATAGTCGCCGTGATCAGGTTCATCAAGATGTCATGCATCCTCTGCAAATACCTCAAGCTTTTGATCGTTGGCATTTGGATTTTGTGGGTGAATTGCCTACAACTGGAAACGGAAACAAATGGTTGTTGACGGCTGTGGATTACCTCACAAACTGGCCTATTGCAAGATCAGTACCAGTAGCATCTATGGAAGCGGTAGCGGATTTTATCTATGAGGAGATTGTCATGCGATTTGGTTGTCCCTCTGAAATTGTGACGGATCGAGGTGCCAATTTTACTAGTGGTCTTGTAACAGCTTACACCAAACGTGTTGGAATAAATCACAAGCTCACCTCGGCATTTCACCCGCGCACCAACTCCAAGGTAGAGCGATACAATGGCGTGATCAAGCAAATGCTTCGTAAGTATGTCAATGGTGCTATTCATCGCTGGGATGACTTTGTGAATGCGGCTTTGTGGGCAAGTCGAATTCGAGTGCACTCAACAACAGGCTTTTCCCCTTATTACTTCGTGTATGGACGTGAACCTAGACTGCCTGGAGATGTTTTGAGACCCTATATCACCAAGGAAATGCTGTTGGACAAACGAACGGTAGCTGACCTAACCTCGCGTGAACTAGAACTACTTGGTCAACATCGTGCTGCTGCTGAATTTCGTTTGAAAGCCATGAGCGAAGCGGACAAGAAGCGTTGGGATGCCAAGATTAAACCCACGCACTTCGAAATGGGTGATATGGTTATACTGACTCATGAAGGCAAATTTGGCCTAGAACCTCGCTACAAAGGACCCTACATTGTGACAAAGGTGTTCCCTGATTTTGGTACTTATCAACTGGAAACTATTGCTGGTGAACCATTACAATAGTTAGTACATGTGGACAGATTGAAAGCAGCGAAAGGTGACAAACCCAGGGAGCCATGGTATGATCCTACTACTAGTCGTCGTGCTGTTCGTGAAGCCGATTCTCTTCGTATGGCCTCAAATACTAGTTCCACTGACCCCAATGGTACCACTGCTACTTCCTCTTCACCATCACCTTCGATTTTCTCATCAAACCCAAGTCTAAATCAACCTCAAGATGATTTTATCGACATGCCAATTTCTGATCAGAGCACGCCAAACAACAGCTCCACTACACAACCTACTACCACTAATAAACCGCCAACTCACTCTCAATATCATCACATACTTACACAACAAATATCAGATGAGGATAGCTCTCTACATGGGAGTAGTGTGATGGATGAAACAGAGGACAACGAACGTGGATTGGGTCAAATCATGGATGGATACGACTTTTTGTCATCTACTGATAGCGATATTGAAGACACAGATCAACCACCAACACTATCCCCACCACATACCATGTCTCCACCACCATCTCCTTCTACAGAATCGTCTTATTTGTCATCTCAGTCTACAGTATCGAATATAAGTAGTGGTGATGCAGCAATAATCAATGAAACAGTCAGTGTTGATACAGATCTTGAACTGGATGAGCGTGTATCAGAGCCAGAAAACACAGAAATGGTGCCAGGTCTTCGAAATGAACCTCATGTTGTTTCTCCTGCCAGCCCACCTTCCGTTATTCAAGCTACTCCAGAACCTGATTCCACTACTACTGTGAATTTTTCCCTCCTGCTGCTACAAACCAAACTCCCATTGCTCTTACTTCTCGTCCTGGGCCACCAAAAAGTACTTTTGTCTTCAAAACTCCTGCCATTCCAAAGATCCACACGCAAAATGAGACCACCCAACCTGCAAAAATCGTCGATCTCTCTTCTCATATGCCAAACACTGCCACTGGTTCATCAAGTTCAAGTGATGTTCAGGGTCGAACATTTGTCTCGAAGGGGGGTGATGTCAGGGTTGAAGGGTATTCTGACAGTGATTTAGATCTGCAGGATATCATTGACAGACTAAACACAAACAAGAATAAGAAGCGCAGGTTTAAACCTAGAGCGCCAGCTACCAGGAACATTAAACAGCGATTAACCTGGATAGCGCACAACATTACACAAACTATATTGGATAAAATCAATGTTCAAATCTAATATTAATAAAGCACCTTTTTATCCATTCAACTAAAAGGCTATAACATCTTCCTGCACACTCTCTATATCTACTTCCATTTATATCTCGATCAGATCTCAGATTGCATATACTATCTCTACGTATTAGCATCTGACACATCAATAAGATATTCGAGTAGTTTAGTGGTAAGAACGTCAGATTCACAACCGATAGGTTGGGGGTTCGATCCCGGTAGGAGCATTTTTTTTTCAAATCTTTGAAAATCGATGTGCTCATATAACAGTATGGATGTGCTCACATGGGAACATTTCGGATGTTCTCATAAGAGCATCGGCCGACTTATAATAGATCTTGAGGAACGCCGATGTTCACATATGAGAGCATTTTTCACCTTTCGGGACATCGATGTGCTCATTTGAGAACATCAAATAGATTCTCATATGAGCACATCGATGTTCTCATGAGAACATCAGTTGAGCCGTAGTGTATAGGTGGTGCTCGCTGCGAAATATACTGCCAGTCGAGAGAAGAAGGTGCCGCATTGGCCAGGTTTGCCGTTGAACGGGGAGGGTAATGGAACCTTGATGTTCGAATCATTTGGGATATTTGAGCTATTTAACAAATTATTGATTTGCTGTTGTTGAGTGGTCAAAGTATCTCGAATGCCTTGCAGTTGTGTCGGCAAAGTATCCTGTAGTGCTCGGAATTGTGAGATAACCTCGTGCAGGGTGTGGATCTGTTCCTCCGATAATGACATTGTTGTGTCTAATTCGTGACTTGGAAATTTTCGGGGGTTGAAAAACTTCTGGGTGGCTTGGCTTCGGGTGGCTTGACTTTAGGTGACTTGAAAAACGTACGTGGGGGAGTTGTTTGGTAGATTATAGTGTCAAGAACTTGATTTCAACAGAGGATTTATTTAACAAAACGATTATCTTAAAGTAAGTGAGAATAAGATATACAAGATAATCTACAACTGTCAAGGATGGAGGGGAAAAGGACATGATATTTATACTTGACAAGAGATGCGGACATAAATGCTGAGACAGGGATATAGCATGGATAAGCGTAATGATTCGTAATCTGAAACATGAGTCATAATTACATAATTATGACATTGGCTTGATACTTGACGTTGATAGGTACTTGACATGATAAGGTTGCATAAAGCTTGGCATGACATAATGATTACTAATGATGACTAATCGATTACTAATGGCTATCAATTAATACTCCTAAATCCTGAACACCGAGATGAGATAAGCATAAAGAAGACATAACACTTGGACTGCATGGTTCTAAATCCAGGTACCAGATCGAAGCTTGGTTCATGACAGGATAATTAGCATTACACTTTCTTGATATGTTGTCATACATCTTAAATAAGCCATCAACATCACTCATCAATAATGAAAAATAACAATGGAGGAAAATGATGAACAAGATACAACTTATCATCGGCTTTCAATATGATACCCGTCAAAACAAACGTTGATATAATAGGACAAAAGAATGAACAAAGGGAAAAAAAGGAGGTACTAGACAAAAAGTAAGAACACCACAAGAAGAGATTGGGATATTAGACAAGGAATATATATAAAAGAGGGAATGTGATAAAAAAATGAATAGTGACAATTAAAAGAAAAAATCAAAACAGAATAGAACAAAGCAACAATGAAAAGAATAAGAAAAGGTTGTGATACTAAGAAAAGAACAAAGAAGGGAAAGGATGAGACTGAGATAATAAGAAAAGAAGCAACAACAAGTATGGAAACGAATACTGGATAAACAAGGACCCGACAAAATAGGAATTAAAATGATAAAAAATAAATACATAGAAAGAGAGAGAAATTGAACAAAACAAATAAACAGAAAAGAATGTAAAAGAGTAAATAAAATAAAACAGATAGAAAAATTGAGACAGTTAAGAAAAAAAGTACAAATAATAGGCAAAATCAATAAAGGGAAGCAAAGAAACCCATGAAAAGACAGAATGTAATATATAAGACTAAGAAAAAAAAGATATATAAAAGGAAATGGTAGGAAAGCAAAAAGACGAAAGAAATGGAAGTAATGTAAAGAATAAGAAGCAAAGAAAAGAGTAAGAATAAATTGACAAAAAAAAGAGGAATGAAGTAAAGAAAGCGAAAAGAGAAGTAAATCAAAAAAAAATAAACATGAAAGAAGAAAATAGGCAAATATAAAAGAAAGGCGAAAGAAACAATGTCAAGGAAAGAAAATGCGATAAAGAAACAGAAAGGAATGAATAGAGAAAAAAAGTCGAAAAGAAAAAGGTTCCAGAAGGAGGATAAAGAATATAAGCAGAACAGAAAAGGGGAATATGAAGACAAAGCACAGGAAGAGACCGGGAGAACAAGCAAACAAAGAAAAAAACGGAGAAGGAGAAACGCAAATATAAACAGAGAAAAGATATATGAAAAACAGAAAGGTGGACAAAAACCCAGACAGAGAAATGGGGGTAGAGAGAACGGAAATACAGAATAACAAAAACAGAGAAAGTATATACAGAGAGAAGGGAGAAACAAACAAGAAAAAAAGGGAAGGGATAGGGGATAAAATACACAGAGACGAGGAAATGGAATAGGAAGAATTATAGAAAGAGAATGGAGGAAGAAACTACGAAAAAAAATACACCGAAAAGGAGAGAATAATAGACAAAAAAAAAAGACAGAAAAGGGAAAGAGGTAGAGAAAAGAAACAGACAGAGTAGAAAAAAATAATAACAATAATAACAGAGATGTTAAGCACAAAGAATAAAAGGATTATTATTTGTAGCTTATAAAAAATGTTCGATATTATAAAAACAAGAAAAGACTTATTTGAATAAGATCAGACACAAAAACTAAAGATTTATTGATGAAGACAAGAGTTATTCTATTTATACTAAGTTCTGAATGCCAAAGTAGCAATTTATCTTGTACAACGCTTATCACATCTGGTGAACCTCAGTATTTAGATAGCTGAGATGCACTTCACTTATCATAGCTTGTCCATGTTGTTGCACAACATAGACATATCTACCCATCAAGAATACCTTAATCTTTATAGACAGTTGTAGCCCTTCTGGCACAACAAGAGATAAAGAAAAAAAAAACAAACAAGAGAGAATAAGAACAGTAAAAAAAATAAAAATAAAAGAAAATAAAAAGCGAATACATTACCATAGCGTAGCGGATACATTGCTATAGCGGAGCGGATACATTACCATAGCGGAGCGAATACATTACCATAGCAAAGAATAATAATTACCGCTATACAACGAACAGGATGATATTTGTATAGTAAATAGAACACATAAATGCATAATAGCATTTCACAAGCACGAGGATACAATGAACAAATACACATAATAAACATATATAAATAAGGGATAATATATAATAATAGGTATAGCGTAAAGAAAATAATACAAAAGTAACGAATAAAACAACACATATTACATAAGACAATATACAACAATTGAATAAGAGACAAAGAAAAAGAAGAAGAAAAAAAGATATATAAAAAACAGACAAGATTAGTGTAAAGTACATAAATAATGATTAGGATAGGGATAGAATTAAGGATAAGATTAGGAATAAGGTTAAAACTATGAATAGGGTTAAAATTACGATTATAATAATGATAAGAATAAACTAGGATTAGGGTTAATATTACGATTAAGAATAGTGTTAAGAATTGATTAGAATTAGGGATAGAGATATGAATAGGGTTATGATTAATATCAGGATTAATATTATATTTAAGAATAAGGTTTAAAATAGGAATAAGATTACCTTTAAGATTAATATTATAATTTAAGACAACTATATGGATAATAATAAGATTAATATTAGGATATTGAGTAATGTTAGTGCCATGATTATAGATAAAATAAGGGTATGGTTAATATCAGGACTAGAAATAGGATTAGGATAAGGAATAGGAATATGAATAGGATTATGGTTAGGATTATGATTAGAGTATAATCAGGAGAGGGTTAGGTAGGAATAAAAATAAGAATATATCCAAAAAACCGATAAAGAAGCAACAAAGTTGAGAGTCTAAAGACACTTAGATTTGAATCTATTCGCTACAATGAGATGTAGCTTCTTCATGTGCATTATACTAGCTCTTTAAAAGATAAACAAGATAAACAGGGTTAAAAAAAAAAAAAAAAAAAAAAAAAAAAAAAAAAAAAAAAAAAAAAAAAAAAAAAAAAAAAAACAGAAATGTTAAGGTTAGGATTAGGATAGGGTTAGTGTTAGGGTTAGGGTTAGGGTTAGGGTTAGGGTTAGGGTTAGGGTTAGGGTTAGGGTTAGGGTTAGGGTTAGGGTTAGGGTTAGGGTTAGGGTTAGGGTTAGGGTTAGGGTTA